GGATAAATTGTTCATGTTGAAATTGAAATGGTTGGGATTAATCTCACAAATGAACCAAGGCCTTTTATTCCCTCTTTAAGCTTTTGGTTCTAAAATTTAAAAAGATAATTTTGTTTTATAGTTTAATTTACAGTTTAAAGTATATTAAACTGCAAAATATAAACCATTGAGTAAGAAATGACTTTAATATTAAGAAATCTAACTTCTATTTAAAAATTAATATAATAATACAATATAATACAATCTCATTTACAGTATACTTTTTTTGATTTAATAATGATAATCTAGGTCAAATACCAACACTTGCTTTTATTTTCTTGATCCAAAAGGGCAAAAAAATAAAAAATAAAATAAAAATCTCACCTGTTGGGGACATGAATGGCATAATTTAAATTCATGAGGACTAATCTGTTCATCAACAGTACCTACCCATTAACGATCATCTTTCCCTGTTTATAAACAATCCAAACTTTCCGTTAGTATAGGTTTGTGGGTGTTTGCTGATGGCAAGAATACATCAGTATAAATTTATACTGAAACAATCTATACTGACGAAAAGTTAAGTCATCAATGTAGTCCCTTGGGACAATACTGACGGAAAATGTGGCTATACTAACAAATTTCTACCATCAATATATGGCAAAAAGTTTGTAGTGACATCTCTTATTTCTTTCGTTTTTCAATTTTTATACTATATGACTCGAACTTTAACATGACCCTAACCCCACCAAGGATCCAATAATGCAAGTAAAATAACACTCTTTTAGGGAAGGGGATGAAGGTTAAGTATCCTATGCAAAGCATATCAATCATACAGGAAAAAAACAGCTCAAATCTTGACTAACGACATTGGATGAAGAAATTTACCATGTGCAAGGCAAGAGGATGGCTTGATCAATAATGACTTGAAAACTTAGGGATGCGCGCATAATGTTGTCCCTAAATTCAACGAAAACCTCTAATCTGTTCTCTGTTTTCAAGATCCCCATCATTACATGTGTGTTAAGCAAAGTTTCCCCCGCAAGGTAATCTTTGAGCCAACTTTGCAACGTCGGCCAAAAGTTAATTCCAATCTGCTATTGCACGATGTAAGATTGAGATAATGTTAATTCCAACTTTACATATTAATTTCAAACATTACTTTACTTTAAGAAACTTTAATTGTAAGAACGGCCTGTTCCGGTCCAGTGACATTGGACCTTAGGTTATAATTGTTCACCTCCAGTGGGTTGCACGTTCAAATTACACGGAATCCCTTTTCTTCCTCTCCCCAATTAATCCTGTAAATAATTACAAATTATTAAAAAAAAAAAACTTTAATTGTAAAATTTTGAATATCAATGATTCTATATTCTACAAAAGTAAGAACATATTACTTAGCAATACAAAAATGTATTTTGTAATTTGTTTCATGCATACTACAAATACTTTGGCCTTATAATTAGTGGGAAACTTGTGAGCTAAATAATAAACTTAACTGAGTATGAAACTGATTATGAGATTGAAATGTTTGGTATCTATAAATGACAAATTATAAAACTCCAACCTCTTTTCAATAAGATGGTATGATTCCCAAAATCTTTTTTCAAAGGTTAAATGCTAAATTTAGTCCCTCAACTTTACAAAATGCATATTTTTTTATCCCTTAACAATTTTTTACATTTTTTTGATCCCTTGATTCTAAAAATTGCACAGTTTTAGTCCCTCCGTCAGTTAAGTATGATATGGCAATTAAATAATTTCATATGGTATTGTTTTTTAATTTTTTTGATGATGTGGCACTAATATATATTATAATTATATTATATAAATAAATAAAAATGCCACATAGATTAATATATATATTTTAATTAAAAACATATAAAATTACCTTATTACCCTCATCCTCACCCTCACCCTCCCAATCCCTCTTCTTCCCCTTTCTTTTTTTCTCTTTCTTTCTTTCGGGTTTGGTGGAAACCCAGCCTTGCTGGGTTCGTCGACCGGTCAAGGCTGGGTTCATCGGAACCCAGCAGATCTGGGTTTCGACAAACCCAGCAAGGCTGGGTTTCGACGAACCCTTGCTGTGTTTCAACCGAACCCAGCTTTGTTGGGAAAGTTGGGTTCTTGTTTTTTCGTTCTTCTTTCGATTTCCATTTCCAATTGTTAATAAATTTGGAGATTGATTTATAATTTGATTGCATTTTTATTAGAATTTGATTAAAGTTTGTTTGTATTTTTGTTGAAATTCGATTATAGTTTGATTGGTATTGTTTATTGAAGGGTTATTTTGATTTGGTAAGATCTGTCAGGTTTGAGGTTTTAATGAAACCCAGTAGCTCAAGTTTCCCCGAGAAAAGAGAAGAAGAAGAAATGGGTGGGTTAAGATCAGTTTTGCAGATGGAGTGGAGATGAGAGAGCATTCACGGAAGAAGAAGAAATGGTTTTAGATCGATTTTGCAGAGGGTGAAGATGAGACCAGTTTGCAGGCAACTGGAATCCATTGAAGGGGTTTGGCGTGAAGAAGATGACATGTCATAAAAAAAAAAAAA